ACACAGTAGAGATGATCATTAATGCCATGTTGGGGCTCTTTGAAAACACTAAGAAAAATGGGGCGCCTGGGTGGCTCAGTGGATTAAAGCCTCTGCCTTCAGCTCAGGTCATGATCCCAGGGTCCTGGGATCCTGACAGTGGAAGTGAACATTATAGGCTGTGAAATTTTGCTCATGGATATAAATATTTCTAAAAAGTATTTAGCAAACTGAATGCATCAGTGTATACTGAGGATAGCATATCATGACCAAGTTGAGTTTATACTAGACTGTAAGACCCATTTCACATTGGAGAATTTGTTAATATCACAAACTCAATGTAATTTATCACATTAATGTATTAAGTGAGGGAAACTGTGTGATTATCTAAAGAGATGCAAACCTTAAACATTTATTTATGAAAAAACTGTCAGTTCTTTAGAATAGAAGAAAATTTCTTTAACCCAATAAATGGCATCGTCAAAAAATACCTATAAATAATATTATTATTTCAACAGAAATGAAATGTAACTAGGGTTGGCAAGGATGTGGAGAAATGGGACCCCCTGCTGATTGCTGGTGGGAACATGAACTGGTGTGAACCCTGGGAAAAAGAGTTTTGTGTTGCCAGTTCCCGCCCTAGATATTTTGAAAGATTGGAAGGGGAAAAACTCAGATATCTGTACACCTATGGTCATAGCAGCACTATTTTCAAAAGCCAAAAGGTGGAAATGATCTAAATGTCCAACAGATGATTGGATAAACATAGTGTGGTCTATATATATATATAATGGAATATTATTCAGCCATTATTTGTCCAAAAAAGAAATTCAGAATGAAATTCTGACATGTACTATACCATGGATGAGCCTTGAAAACATTAGGCTAAGTGAAATAAGCAAGACCAAACCCAACCCAACCAAACCAAACAAAACCCCCCATATGCTCTCATTTATATGAGGTACGTGGAAAAGGAAAATTCATAGAGATGAAAAGTAGAACAGAGATTACCAGGGCCTGGGGGAAGTAGAAATGGGGAGCTATTGCTTAATGAGTACAGAGTTTCTGTTTAGAATGATGATAAAGCTCTAGAGGTATGGAGTAATGGAAACAAACATACATACTGATGGGGGGAATATAAACTGATATATTGCACAACATATTTGACGCTATGTAGCAACGTTGAAGACCACATATCCTATGACCCAGCAATTCCCTTGCTATAGGTATATATCTTAGAGCAGAAGTTTCCAAGCAAGATCCCTGGAGATCCTCAAGCTTCCTTCAGGGGACCTACAAGGGCTAAACTATTTTCTTAGTAATACTGAGAGGTCATTTGCCCCTTTTCACCATGTCGACGTTGATACTGACAGTGCAGATGGAGTCGTGGGTAAACCAGCTAATGCCCATGCAGGAATCAAAGCAGGGGACCAGCGGTGCTGGCAGTCATGTTCTCCACCACTACACACTTGCAATAAAATAATTAATAATGATGATGATGATGATGATAATGATGATGATGTTAGTTTCACTTAAGGTTGTCCTTGATGAAGAAGTAAAAGTTCCTAATTTTTTAAAGGATTTTATTTATTTATTTGACAGAGAGTGAAACAGTGAGAGGAAACACAAGCAGGGGGAGTGGGAGAGGGAGAAGCAGGTTTCTCGCTGAGCAGGGAGGCCGTGTGGGGCTCCATCCCAGGGCACTGGGATCATGACCTGAGCCAAAGTCAGACGCTTAACGACTGAGCCACCCAGGTGCCCCCAAATCACTAATTCTATTAAATCTTTGACCTTTGAGCAGATACCTTTCCAAATGCTGTGTGATGAAACAGAAGGTAGGTGTGTGTAAAACTCTGCTGTTGCATACCCAAGAATGATATTCTCTTGAAAGAGAACATTGAAATTGTAAGCAGAATTAGGTGGGCTTTTTTTTTTTTTTTAAATCAAATACCATTTTGACTTGAAGACATGATGGCTAGACAAACCGTGATTATTCAAACTGAACATCTGGCTGATATTTTCTTAAAAATGAATGAAGTACATCTGACCCTTCAGGGAAAACAGTGGATATTAGTTATTGTCTGTGACAGAGTTTTGAGCTTTCAAACTAAAACTAGAATTTTGGAAACCTTGTATCCATCACTGTGAGCTGGTCAACTTCCTCATTTTTAAATGTTTTTCTGACGAGATCACTGGTGGCATTAGTAGATGCAATTCTTACAACATCATATACTCTGCCAACATTTGGAAGATCTGCAAGGCTCAGCATACCCATGGATTCCAAATGACCACCATGATGTTACAAATCGCAAAAAAACTGTAAGATCTACTCACAGCACAAGCTCAGTCAGTGGATTTTAATGGAACAGAGCTCAAAGGGGTGTTGGCACAGTTTCAGACTAACCAGCGAGAAACCACCACTCACTGAGTTTTCCTTTAGCATCAAAGAATAGCCACAGTTAGCTGCAAAGCCTATGAAAATGTTTCTCTCCCTTCTAACTACATATCTCTATGAGGTTAGATTTCCTCCTTTACACCAAACAATATAGCACAACAGATAGAATTTTTTGAAATCAATACATAAAAATCAACATATTTACATTAATCTACTGGGTTTGCCCATCCTGTGGTATAAATATTCCCACCATGAGGGATTTTGAGCTCCCAATGTGATTTTACAGAAGGTGGAACTGGGAAGAGAGAAGCACCGGGGGCTCTCATGAGCTCTATGACCTGGTTCCAGACCACTAATATAACCCATATTTTATAAAGCCCTCTGGGTCCTCAATAATTTTTTTAAAAGATTTTATTTATTTATTTGACAGAGAGAGAGAGAGAGCACAAGCAGGGAGAGTGGGCAGGGAGAAGTAGGCTTCCCGTCAAGCAGGGAGCCTGACGTGGGGCTCGATCCAAGGACTCTGGGATCATGACCTGAGCTGAAGGCAGATGTTTAACCAACTGAGCCACCCAGGTGTCCCCTCAATAATTTTTAAGAAACTAGAAATTTGAGAGCCACTGCCTTAGATAAATGGCTGTGTGTCTTGGCCCCAGAGAACAAGTACAAAAAAGTCATAGCAACCACAGCTCCATGCAACATGAGTGAATCTTAAAAATATTAACTATAGGGGCACTGGGGTGGCTCAGTCAAGTAAGCATCAGCTCAGGTCATGATCCCAGGGTCCTGCGATCCAACCCGGAGTCAGGCTCCCTGTTCAGTGGAGAGTCTGCTTCTCCCTCTCCCTCTGCCTCCTCCTCCCTGCTTGTGCTCTGTCTCTCTCTCTCTGTCTCTCAAATAAAGACATAAAATCTTTTAAAAATATTAACTATATTTAGGAAAAGAAACCAGACTCAAATGAATACATGCTATACAGTTCCATTTATACCAACTCCACAAACAGGCAAGGCTAAGCATTAGCTATAGGAATGCACCTTTGGTGCTCAGCATATTAAAAAAAAAAAAAAGGCAAGGAAGTGACAGCTACAGAAGTCAGGTTGGAAAGGGAGGTGCATGTGTGGCCCTGGGCTGCTGGATATGTTCTGTTTCTTGACCTCTGTGCAGTTTTGTGGGGGTGTGCTCTACTGTAATTCATTTATCTGCACATTTATTTATTTATCTTAAAAGATTTTATTTATTTATTTAACAGAGAGAGAGGTCACAAGTAGGCAGAGAGGCAGGCGCGGCGGGGGGTGGAATCAGAATCCCTGCTGAGCAGAGACCCAGATTCGGGACTCCATCCCAGGACCCTGGGATCACGACCTGAGCTGAAGGCAGAGGCTTAACCCACTGAGCCATCCAGGTGCCCCTGTATATTTATTTTTAATGTATTTGTTCATATTGTGTTATTTTATAATTAAAAGTTTTAAAAAATGGAATTATACAGAATGCATGACTCCCCTGTACTTGGATCGAAAGGACATCCCTTCTTCACAGCTCTAGCCTGTCCAGACGGTTGTCCCTACCAAATAGAGGTTTGCCATACTCTGTGGTGTGTCTTCAGGTCTTCTCTGTGCCACATGGTTAGTTTCAAGAGGGAACAAATAGTTTCTTGGGGTTCCTCTTCTTTTGCTTAAAGGCTGTTGGAAAATACGTTCTCTGAATTACCTACTTGAAACTGGATGTTTTCATTTGTGGCAAGTGAGACTACAGGGTTCTGCTTCTTTAAGTCAACTGTAGTGGAGGCACCTTTCTCTGTTAGCATTTTTTTAAACAGCTACAGAGTATTTCATTATATGGATGTGCCATAATTTATTGAATCAGCCCTCCCTTGATAGAGAGGTGGTTCCTAATTTTGTTTTGTTTTGTTTTGTGAATAAACAAAATAATGGCCTTTCTCCCATTGGACCTCAGTGGGGTCCCTCTGTGGGGATGGGACCCTGGTCTAGTTATATTCTGTGCATTACACCCACAACTCAGTGCTCAGGATGTAGCGTTTGCTCAATAAAATGATTGGGGCGGGGGGCGAATGAAGACCAACTGAAAAAACCACATGGTATCAGTTTGAACACAAAGATAGGATTTTTTGTGGAAACCCCTTGGGCAAAGGGGCAGACAAGCACTAACTGGAGCCCAGGGGTCTAGGCCAAAATCAGAGTGGATTCAAATCCCAGCTCTCCCACGTGGGCGATGTTAAACAGCTACTTAATCTCTCCTTGCTTCACTGTTCTCATCTATAAAATGGGTATAACAGTGGTCTCTGTTTCAAAGGGCTGCTGTGAGAATTAAATGAGTGACTACATGCAAATATCTCTGCATGGGCCTAGCCCATCAGCACTAGAGTAATAGAATTAGTCATAGAATGTGATCGTCTCAACTCATCCTTGTTAAATAACCCTAACAATGATGCCTCTCACAGGGCGATAACACGAAAATAAGGTCCTTCTGGCCCTGCATTTGTGGTGGTTATTGTTGGTTCGATTTGCTTCTGTGGGGTCCGTTTGGCTCCTGAAGAATCAGCTTCCCCCTTAAGGAGAGTATTTATCTGCAGAGCCTATCACCATGGAGACAGTCAACAGTAGGGAATCCAAGATCACGGCACCTCTCTCTGGAGGCTGAAAGTAGTCCCTCCGGCCCGTTTATTTTGTGAAATTGGCAGGGTGTCATCAACTGTACCCACTCAGAAGGGTAGCTGGGAAAATGAAAAAGATACCCTAAACTCAGCAACTACATAATATCTCCCCACTCCCGAGACCTGGAACTGTGTCAAGTCCAAAGCCTCCGGGCGAACACTTACCATGCAGTTTTTGACTGCGGTAAGTCCACAGTCATTCTCTACCCCGAGCTGGAAGGTCGAGACCAAGTACTCAACCCGAGTGCTCACTGGAAACTGGGTGGAAGAGAGGAAGAAGGTAAGCAAGGGGAGAAACTGGACCGAGGGCTCGGGGGAAGACCTGGCAGGCAGAGGAAGGATATGAGGTCATTATTATTTCCAAATTAAGGGTCATAGGAGGTTACATCTTAAGAATGTGACATTAGGATCTATGTGCTCTTCATAGGGGAGTTCCATTCAAGCCATCATCAAGATCCCCATTATATCTTGAAAATGCCATAACAGAGGTGTCAGTATAGTTAAGCCTCCCAGCATTATTTACAGTGGAGTGTTTCGAGGTATCTGGTGTTCCCTGTCCCTAATTCCCCTGAACCTTGATTTGAAGAACACCGGCTCTCCCTCGTCTGGCCCTTCCCAGAGTGTGGTACTTGCCAAGGCAGGCTTGCCACTGCTTGCACTGATGTCCAGGGATGAGCTGCTGCTCTCTGACACCTGTTCCACAATCTTGCCTTGCCTGTGCATTTCAGTTTTTACTTTCCCAGTGTACTTTAAAGGCCAACACAAAAATACTTGGCCTCAATCGGCCTACTTGAAATTGGGTATCTGTATTTGTGGTGGCAATCAAGACTGAGCCACTTAAATTTCTGCAGAGACAAGGAGATACCCTTAAGACTTCTTGGGAAGTGGACAAGGAAAAGAGAACCAGATACAATCAGCAGCTTTGGTGTTAGTGTGGGGAAGGTTGTTGGTGACGTCTGAGAACTGGAAAAGGCTATTTTCAGAGAGAACATTTGCATTCACCACCCCTCCGGCTAGATGTGGCCTGTGGCCATTGTTAGTTCTCATTGCACTTGGCCTTATTTGGGGACAGATATGTGTAAGAGAAGGTTCAAGGGCAAGGAGAACTGGCTGAGCAATCTGTCTAGGCTCCTGTGGGTGAGAGAGTACCCAAGGATACTATGGGCTGGTCCTACACCTGGAAGAGATTGCATAAAGAGAGCAGAGTTGGAGTGATATGAAAAACATGGCAGACTAAGAAGATCCAGCTCCTTACTCTCCCAAAGAAACACTGAAGAAACAACTATAACCTATCCAGAATAATTACAGAAGAGCTCTGAAAAGCAGTCAAAGGTCCACAGCAAATGCCCAATTTAGAAAGTCACATTCAAGATGGTAGGAAATGTCATCATATTTTACCTTGCTCTTTTCTCATTTTCTCCTTAGAACAGCAGGGTAGAGTGTAAGAGAAGCAGTGGCTCAGCTCCTAGTTCCTTCCCTTGAACCCAGAGAGAGTGGAGCAACATTTTAATCTGTCTGGAGGCTGCTTGAGGGATTGGTACCCCTGCTTTGCTTAACTCAGAGCTCAGATAGGGAAAACATGTCATAGTTCATCTTTCAGGCTAAGAAAAGCTGTTGAAAGCAAGGGTAGTTACAGCAGGTGAAAGCTGCTAGGGGACTACAAACCTGTGAAAGTCTGAGGCCGTGGATTACAGGTGGAGGAATGCAACAGAATATAAAAGGCCTTGAGAAGAACCAGAGGAGACACTCTTTGGAAAATTCAGGATTTTATTTTTAGTTTTATTTTTTATTTTATTTTTTCGGTGTTCCAAGATTCATTGTTTATGCACCATACCCAGTGTGTGGGATTTTAAAGTAGCTGTGTATATAAACTAAATAAAAAAAAATCAACACACACTCACACACACACACACACACACACAAACACAAACACACATGCACACATACACAGGTTCAGGCAAGATGAGTGCTCAGAAAGCTCCTAAGAACTCAAGACTTCATTCATCCTGGAACACACCCTGTTAGTTAGTGGCAATCTTCCCTTAAATGGACTGGACAAAAACCTTAGAACAACCACCTTAAATATGCATAAAGAGCTAAAAGAAAGCATGAACAAAGAACTAAAGGAAATCATGAAAATAGTATTTGAACAAAATAAATATCAATAAAAACAGAAATTACAAAAAGAAATCAAACAGAAATTATGAAGCAGAAAAATATAATAACTCTATTGAAAAAAATTCATTAGAGGTATCTGAAAGTGGACTTGAAAAAGCAGAAGAAAGAATCAGAGAACTTAAGGGGAAATCATTCAAAATTCTTGAGTCTGAGGAGACAAAATAAAGAATAAAGAAATGAGATCAGAGTCTAGGGACTTATGGGTCACCATCATGCAGACCAGTATACACATGATGGGAGAAAGAAGGGAAAGGGGCAGAAAGAATATTTGAAGAAATAATGGCTGAAAACATCCTAAATTTGAAGACAAGGCATGTGTCTACAAATCCATGAATCTCAGCGAACTCTAAAAGGAAACATCCAAAAAGACCCACACAAAGACATAGTATACTCAACCTGTTGAAAGTCAAAGACAAAGGAATTTAAAAGCACAAAATCAAAATGATACATCATATACAAAGTAACATTTATAAGATTATCAGTAGACTTCTCAGCAGAAACCTGCAGGCCTAAAAGAGATGGGGTGATGTATTTAAAGTGCTAAAAAAAATAAGCAAAACAAACAAAAAAATTCATAACATTTATCCACTGAGAATACTATAGCTAGCAAAACCATCCTTCAAAAATGAAGGAGAAACTAAAGCATCACCAGGTAAATGAAAGCTGAAGCAGTTCATGACCACTAGGCCTACCCTACAAGAAATGGAGCAATATTAGACAGTACCTCAAAGCCATATGAAATGAAGACCTCTGGTAAAGGGAAGCACATGGACACATATAAAAACCACGGTTATTGTAATTTTAGTTTGTAACTCCCCTATATTTATAGGATTTAGAAAACAAACACATAAAAATAATTATAAATCTATGTTAATGGGTACAAAATGTATCAAGATGAAGTTTATGACATCAGTAACACAAAATGGGAGGTGGCAGGGTGTAATGAAGCGGAGTTTTTATGTATGAGCTCAGTCAAGTTGGTGTCCATTTAAAATAGATTGTTTAAAAGATCATTATAACTTTAGGATGTTATACGCAATCCCCAGGATAACTACAAAGAAAATATCTCTAGGATATACGCAAAAGGAAATGAGTAGGAAATAAAAACATGTCACTGAAAATGATCAACTAAACACACACAAAGGTAGTAATGGAGGAAATGAGGGACCAAAAAAATCCTCTAAGAAAACAAATAACAAAATGGCAAAAGTAAGCCCTCCCCTGACAGTAATTATTTTAAATGTAAATCGATTAACCTTTCAATCAAAAGACATAGATTGGTAAAATGGGGAGGGTACTCAAAACCTAGGATGCAACTATGTGCCACCTCTGAGACTGTCTTTAGATCTAAGGGCATGCATAGGTTGAAAAGGAAAGGACAGAAGTAGTTATCCATCCCAAACAGCAATCAAAAGAGAGTGGGTTACCGATATCATTTAAAAAAAATAGACTCTAAGTCAAAAATTGGTATAAGAGCCAAAGAAGGACAATGTATATCGAAGAAAGGATCATGAAGAAATAGAAAATCTGAATAGATCTATAATGAGAAAGAAACAAACACATCTCCAAAATACAAGTCCATGACTAGATGGTGTTACTGGTGAATTCTACTCAGCATTTGATTACCATGGCATAACAAAGGCCATATATGAAAAGCCACAGCTAACATTATACTCAATGGTAAAAGACCAAAAAAACTTCTCCTCTAAGATCAGGAATAAGACAAGGATGTCTGTTTTGCCAGTTCTATTCAATATAGTATTAAAAGTTTAAGCCAGAGCAATTAGGCAAGAAAAAGAAGTAAAATGCATAGAAATTGGAAAGGAAGAAGTAAAATTATCTCTGTTTGCAGGTGACAGGATCTTCTATGTATCAAAGCTTAGAGACCACATAACAAACAAAACAAAAAACCCAGAAAAAATCCCGTCAAAACCGATAAATGAATTCAGCAAAGTAGCAAGATACAAAAATCAACATACAAAAATCAGTTGCATTTCTATACACTAACAATGAATGATCTAAAAGGGGGACTAGGGGCACCTGGGTGGCTCAGTGGGTTAAAGCCTCTGCCTTCGGCTCAGGTCATGATCCCCGGGACCTGGGATTGAGCCCCTTGTCAGGCTCTCCGCTTGGCAGGGGACCTGTTTCTGCCTCTCTCTCTGCCTGCCTCTCTGCCTGCTTGTGATCTCTGTCTGTCAAATAAATAAATAAAATCTAAAAAAAAAATAAAAGGGGGACTAAAGAAAATTCTATTTACAACACACACACACATACAAAATACTTAGGAACAAACTTAACCACAGAGGCAAAAGATTTACACAATGAAAACTATAAAATATTGTCAAAAGAAATAAAACACAATGTCAATAGATGGAAAGAAAGCCTATGTTTATGGACTGGAAGACACAATCTCATTAAGATGTCAACACTACCTAAAACTGGCTACGGCATCAGTGCAATAGGATTTTTTTTTTTTTTTGCAGAAATTAAGAAATCCGCCCTAAAATTCATTTGAAATCTCAAGAAACTGAATAGCCAAAATAATCTTGAAAAGAAAAGAAGTACAAAGTTGGAGGACTCACATTCTCTGATTTCAAAAATTACTACAAAGCTACAGTAACCAAATACTGGGATACTGGCAAAAAGGTAGACATATGAACAGATGGGATTAAAGAAAAAGAGCTCGGAAGTAAGTCCTCACATATCTGGTCAAATGACTTCAAAAGGACTGGCAAGATCATTCAATGGTGAAAGGACAATCTTTTCAACAAAAACTAAATGTGAAAGAATGAATGTGGACCCTTACCTTACACTACATACAAAAATTAATTCAAAATGGGTCAAAAACCTAGATGTAAGACATAAAACTCTTAGAAGTAAACATAGGAGAAAAGCTTCATGACATTGAATTTGCAATGATTTTTGTTTGTAGGACACCGAAGTCATAGATAACAAAAGAAAAAATAGATAAATTGGACTTTCATCAAAATTGAAGACTTTTTATGCATCGAAGAACACTATCAACAGAGTGAAAGGATAACTCCTGGAATGGGAGAAAATGTTTGCAAATCTTATCTATGATAAAGGCTTAATATCCAAATATATAAAGAACACCTACAACTCAACAACAAAAAATAATTAAAAATGGGGAAAAAATTGAATAGATATTCCTCCAAGTTATGCAGATGGCTAATAAGCACATGAAAATGAAAAGATGCCTAACATCACTAGTCATTAGGGAAAGCAAATCAAAATCATAAGATACCACTTCACACCCATTAGGATGGCTATGATAAAAAAAAGAAAGAAAGAAAAAGAAAGTAGTAGGTGTTGGTGAGAATATGGAGAAATTGGAATGCTTAGTGGGAATGCATAATAGTGCAGCTGCTTGTAGACAGTATGACTACTACTAAATGCTAATGCTAAAAACATTAAACGTAGAATGGCCATATGACCCAGCAATTCCATTTCTGGGTTTATACCCAAAAGAACCGAAAGCAGGATTTTGAAAAGAGATATTCATACATTCATATTCATAGCAGTGTTATTCACAGTAGCCAAAAGGTAGAATGGATAAACCAAATGTAGGGTATGTATGCAATGAAATTCTACTCAGCCTTCAAACGGAAGAAAATTCTTACACATGCTACAATGTAGATGAACCCCGAAGACACTACGCTAAGTGAAAGAAGCCAGGCGTGGAAAGACAAACACTGTATGATTCCACTTGTATGAAGTACCTAGAAGAGTCCAGTTCATGGAGACAGAAAACAGAATGGTGGGTGCTGGGGGTGGAGGGAGGGAGGGACCTGTTTAATCGGTTCGGAGTTTTAGTTTGGGAAGAGGAAGAAGTTCTGGGGACAGGTGATGACTGATGGTTGCACAACCATAAGAGTGTACTTAATGCTCCCAGACTGTCTAAGCAAAAATGGTCAAAATGGTAAATTTTGTTATGTATATTTTTCCACAATAAATATTTTAAAAAATGAACCAGGAAACACAATATAATGGGAGGGGGGGAGAGTGGAACTGGGAAGAGGTGAAAACAAAGAAGAAAAAGAGAGGAAGGAGGCAAGCAGGAGGGGAGAACAGGGAGAGAGAAGACGAAGGGAGCAGGTGTAGACCATGAGAAGTGGTCCCGGGACACAAGTAAGAGCTTTCCTGAGGCATAGGGTGCCAAGCGCCTGAGCACGGTCCTTTCTAAGCTCTGGAAGGGAAGGGGCAAGGTTAAGCCTGCATCACGCAGGACGCCCTGGGCTCTAAGGTTAGCCTTTCTCTGCCCAGCTTTCCCTAGCCCGGGAGGGAAGGGGATGCTGCGGGAATGTGAGAAGGTACATCAGAGATGTTATCTTGACTATTTCTTCTTTTTCCAGTTCACCAAAGCCACTGAGAAAACACCTCAGTGCATTTACAGAAAAGAGTATGTCCCCTTCCCGGACCACAGACCAGACCAGATCTCCAGGTGGTACGGCAAGAGGAGAATTGAGGTAAGAGGGAGTGGGGGCCCCACACTCAGGCTTGGCTCCCCCACCAGTGCTCAGGAGTCATCACCTGCCAGATTTTTCTAAGCTCAATTCCCCCTCGGGGGGACACAGGAGTGATCTCATGAGCTCCTTCCCCAACCCCGGGGCCTGCAGATGGCATCCACCTTTATTTACAACCTGCCAAGTCTCCGGCTGGTAGCATTCTCCCTGCCCTGTATCCCAGCACTCTTCTGGATCATTTCCCGGTTCCTCCACACTTGCCTAACAGGCTGTGTCAGTAAAGGGTGTGGGAAACAAACAAACCAACGAACAAGGTAAATACTGAGTTTAGGGGCACGTCGTGAGAAATCACATAGGGTCCTCCAAAAGCGAGTAGCGGAGATGCTTGGATGACAGTATTTTTAGTCATCTATTCCCCAGCTTTCTGTTCTTTTGTATAAAAAGTCAGGGCCCTCTCTCGCTCATTGGGTGCCGGTGCGTGCCCTTGTGCTGCAGTTCCCTGGAGAAGGAACCAGGGCACTACGACTTCAGGGCATGCCCCCTACTCTGACCCCACCTCCCAACCCCATACCTGCCTAAACTCAGGGCGGGGGCATGGAGTGAGGGGTGGGCATGGCCAGCACGGAAGCATTTTGGAGCTGGAAGGGACCCAAGAGATTGTTTAGCTCAGCACCTTCATTTTCAGATAGAAGGTGCCCGGGGTGTGCAGAAGGTCTCGTCCGAAATGGCGTAGCTGGTTGGTAAGGGACTAAGCAGGTGGCTGATCTGCAAATCAAGCAAGAAGTATCCTCGAATCCCTCTTCACTGTCTGCTGGAGTGGACTCTCTGTTGCCTGCATTTGGGGTCACCTCCATATAAAACAGCACCACGTTCTCAGCTCCATCCTGGTGTGCCTGGGTTGCGCTGATATCCCCGGAGCACGCTGGCATCCGCAGACCGTGCGGGGGCTCTGGGGCTGCTAATCTTTACGATTAGTGCGCCCTGAAGACCCAAGTGCACGCTCGTAGAAGGAAGTCGAAGTAAGAACCCACGATCTGGGGCTCCTTTTCCCCAATCGTCCATATATGAGAGGTACTTAGCCTAGCTCTTGATACACATCCGTGCCCCCTCTTAAAGACTTTTGGGCTCATGACAAACGCTGATGAGGAGATAACCACACACATGCACTTCTTTGGAATCAGGTTAAGGGGCACCTGGGTGGCTCAGTCGCTTAAGCATCGGACTCTTGATTTTTGGCTCAGATCATGATCTCGAGGTCATGGGAGCAAGCCCTGAGCTGGGCTTTCCGTGGTTGGCGGGGCGTCTGCTTGGGAATTCTCTCTCTTCCTCTGCCCCTCCCCCTGCTCTCTCACTCTCAAAAATAATAAATAAATAAGTCTTTATATAATCTGATTAAAATTAAGAAGCCTGCTGCCAACATACACACAATATAGACCCAAGCAGTCAGGTAACGCATCTCCAAGGACTCTGTTCAGATCTCCTGCTTGTGGGCGTGGACCCGGGACAGAGCTCGGCCCCTGCACAGCTGTTTCAGCCCGCCGGCGGCTCCGGGGGCTTCATCCTGCTCTTGCTCTGAGGACAGCCAGCTCCCATCCCCACATCACTCTGCCTCCTCCTTAGGCAAAGGCGCATCTGCTCTTTAAATCAACTATGTATGGATCGATGGGGTTAGCCTCCGCCAGGGAGGACCCCCTTCCTGTGCTTTTCTACTAGGCAGGTCTATTAATCACAATTTTTATGTTCTGTGTTTTAGATGGTTTGACATCTTAGGGGCCGTGCCAATCCTGGACAGACTGCCCTCCCAGGACAGGCTAGTTCCTTAGGACAGTAAGCAGCTTGCCTGCAAGCACGCCTTTGGGATACAAACCAACCAACCCAGAGCCCATACCCCAACCATCTCCTTTACATAAATCTCCCATGCCAAGCCGATATCCCTTTGCCTGAAATCACTCCAGGGCCAGACTCCAGTAACCAGAGGTACCTCTTTAGCCCAGAGCCGGCTGAAATCATTTGAACTCTGCAACCCTAAACTTCTCAAACTTGCTAACCCTGCCTCACCTGTTCCTTCCCTTGGAAACTACCTGGAGGTCCTGGGCCATGCTCTCTCCTTCTGTGACCCTGGGGCTCCCCTACGTGATCCTGGGTGGTGCCCCCTCCTCTCGGGAAGAAAGTAATGAACTTTCCAAATAATTTCTTTCCAAGGCACTTGTCTCTCTGTCACCTGACCATCCCTGATCAAAACAAAGATCCCAGGTGCATCATCAAGACAGTTGGGCCATGCCCCAAACCAAGAAGAACAGCAAGAAAATCCCTTTCTCCTTTCCCTACTGTGATATGTCCTCAGCACTTTCCTGGGAACCCCTCCAACTTGCTTTCCCTGGCATTGGAAATGTACTCCAGGCACCTGGTGAGGCAGACCTAGGGATCCCCTGTGTCTGTGCCTATACCCTGTCTCCCTGCAGCATTGTGATCTGACTTATTTATTACGTGCAGCCGGCATTTCCAGACCAGAGCAGACACAGACCTCCCTGACTGCTCCAGACAAGAGGACAGGCATGGAAAGCCACATTATCCTCCCCTGTAAATCAGTCCAGTCCCCCCAAGATCCCCTTCCAGGGCCAAGAGGATTTTCTGCGGAAAGGCACTGATGCAGGCAAAGGTCCCAGAGTCAGGAGGACATGGCTTTCTTCTCCTTGTAAATAACTCCCACCAAAGAAATCCCTCCCCGAGTTTCCAGCTGAGGGAGCCATAAATCCTCTGCGGGAGAAGGCAATTTATGGGGCGTTCTCTGACTCTTCCCATAGTAACTGATTGAAATAGAAGGTGCGTATGTCAGGCCTGGTATTCAACGTCTTTCACTGGCCATGGAAATAGGCACTTGGATAGGGGAGCCTAGAGACACATCAGAGGATGTAATTTCAGATCACAAGGGCAGCTGTGAGAGGGCTCTGCAGCTTCCTATTTGGCTCGGTGTCCTGCCTTCCATTTTAATGTGTCCCCATAGCCCATTCTCGGGATGAATTGACTTGGCATACACAGGGGGCCCTCAGAGACCTGACAGCCTCGAGGCTGGGATGTGTGTGTGAAGGTGAGCTGCGCCACGGGGGGGCCAGACAGCTGTGTCTCCCAGGTGGCGGCCCCCAGGGCTCAGGCAGCAACACTCACCATCAGCGCCGCACACCTGCCTTGCAGCGTCTGCCTTGCTCCGATCGGTTAACATGCCACCCCCGCCCGTGTCTGACCCTCCAGGGCTTCCCGTACAAACACCTGATCACGCACCACCAGGAGCCCTCCCACCGCCATCTGATCAGCACCTATGATGACCACTACAACCGGCACAGCTACAACCCAGACCTGCCCCCACATCGCTCTTGGAGTGGACACAAGTTGCTGTGGCTCCCAGAGAAATCAGACTTCCCCCTTCTTGGTATTCGTATAATTCGGGATTCTGCCCCACGCTGAAAGACTCACCCAGAGAGCGTTAGAATGACACGAGTGGGGGCAAACCCTATTGACCTGCGGGGCCGCTTCTTGCCACGGAGGTGATGCTGGCTGTGGGGTGGGGCCCTCCCCTGCGCACCGCGGTGGCCTGGGTTTACCGGGAGCATGGGTGGCAGGAGTAGGAGCACTGAACTCAGATCCATCATCTTTGCATAAACAGTGACGACCAGGTCCCCGGTGCCCTGCCCTGACTTAGCACCTGGTGGACACAGGAGTGACAAATGGGGAGGAATCCCTGCCCCTGGGGAGTGTCATCCCAGTGGGTCCGGGATCAGACACTGTTCATGGATGACTTAAAGTCTGGCAAAAAAGATCATTCTGGACCGGGGTATGTGCCACAAGGTGAAGATACCCAGCGAGGGACACAAAGTGAGGCAGTTATATGTGACTCTCCTTTGGGTGGAATGATGAGGGATGGTCTTTCTGGAAGAGAGAGTTGAGTTGATAGGAATTTGGGGGGGAGAGAATTCCAGAAGAGGAAATAGTGAGTGGAGACACTCCACAGCAGGAAGACCACTTCGGGGCTCCAAGGCCACCACAAGGACTGTGGGTTTTGTCCTTCCAACAGCAAGAGAACTTTGAAGGCATTTTTGTAAGAGAGTGCCTTGACCTGATTGACATTTCAAGCTACCCTCATTCTTTGCACGCAACTTTTTGTACTCCCTACACTTCGATGCAAAGGGACCTGGGTCCAATGGTGAGCTGCCTGTCACTCCGCATTACTTCTGCAAGGGTTTCTCCCTGGGATCAGTCTCACAAGACTGCACTGCTCCCTTCCCTGCTAGGGTAGGACAGTCCCCCAGGAGCCAGCAGGTTCACCGTCCACCAGTCGTGGGGCTGCGTTTTCCAAGGCCTATGTACCAGCTCCTGGTTCCTCCTGAGCATGCTGAGCGGGCCCCACCCTGAGCCAACACTCCTGCAAGCCCTTCTTCCCTCCAGAGCTCTGCAGCCCCCAAAAGCCTCCAGGGCCTCATGCCACACATCCTCCTGGCCGGTCCATGCCCCATTCACCCAGACCCAGCTTTCTCTTGCAGCTCCCCCTACAAACTACGGACTCTATGAGCAGCTGCGGTGGAGATGGCTGGCACCCAAGGCTGCCCCGAGGGAGAGCATTTACACCTCGTCCTACCCTAGACCACCACTACATGCTTTGTCCCGGCGCGAGCATGCCATCCCTGTCCCTCCCCCTCGTCTGCACCCGGTCCCGCGCTTCTGAGAGTGGCCACTCCACAGGCAATGTGGGCAGAGCCCACCGGAGACCCGCTGTGCAGTTGGACCTGTCAGGCAGCAGGCGGCGGCAGACACACTCAGAGTTTTTGATCTGGCCCCGCCAAGGGTCCCCTAGAATCATGGTCTGTGTTTCATGGATCCCACCCCTCCTCCAAACCCTCAGGTTCCTTTCTTTTCCATCTCACAATTAAAGCTCTTTGACACAATGGAGTGCCATATATATGCAGAATTCTTCAGAGTAGCAGAAGACCCTCTCCCTCGTTTCCCATGAGGGTAAACTGAGGCCCAGAGAGGTAACATGTTCCAAGAAGGAGGATCTAGTCCATACAGAAGGGGATCTGAACATGAGACCACTGCAGAACCCCATGGAATAGTATAATGTGGTTATGGGAGGGCACCCCGCAGGAGCTGGCCTTTGGGGAGGGGTCTAGCACATCATTGCCTCCCCAGGGGCATGCTGAACCCAGGGCTCAGAGGAAGCGAGACACACAGCATCTCCCTCCCGCCTCTGAGCTCTCAAATCCTTTTCTGGGTTTGAGGATGGGGAATTTTTCAGTAAGGGTTTCAGAAGGAGGATGGACCGCTGGACAGAAGATCCGGGGCTGTGTCCTGGCTCAGGGACTGGGTGCGGTCGTCATTGCCCAGGATGGAGTCCTCCAAGGCACGTTCTGCCACCTGACGTGGTGTCCAACCTCTGGAGAAGCACACTGGCCCGTGTCTGCCCAGAATGGGCTTCTCTGCCTTCTGCCTCCACCCTGCCTGGCTGCGTTTATTACTGGAGGTGGGGCGCTCGGTGTATTGTCCTTGGCTGGATGAACGAATGAGCCATTGTCTCTTCTGGGGCTCCTCTCTGGATCCACGCTGTCCCCCACTCACCATGACCCAGTCCTGTTCCCCACTCTGAGCCTCATCTAGCTGCTTCCCTACACCCCTGCCCCAAGGTGGACTTCTATCCAGACCCCAACCCATCTGGATGCCCAAAGATCCTTATTCTTCCCAGAACTCAGCCACTCCCACTTCCGAGTCAGAGAAAAGTGAGCCCTGCCCTCCCCCTACCCCCAATCCTCCTGCCAGCGTCGGAAAGGAGGTCACCCTCTGTAGCTCCATCCTTTAGAAGCTGGCTGTCCACCATGGCAGGGCATTAGTAAAATTCTGACGCCCTGCCAGCCCATCTCGCATCTACCACTACCAATGGTTGTTTTTTCTGCTTTGGAGAAAAAGAAATGAATAGAAGTATTTTTCCATGGATCTTTTCCTTAACGTTTTTGGCACCTGCTATCACATTCTAGCAAATAATCAAGGGGGGAAAAAAAAGGAAGGGAAAACCTGATCTAATATTTATTTTGGGTTAAACAGGCAGTTCAACAAAAGCCAGGATCTGGGTGTAAATGAGATTATCTCATTGACTGTCTTTTCTACCCTCCATGGTAGGTGCCCCCAGGTAGAGATTATAAATGTCATTTCTATTTACAGAAACGGGAATAAAGTGCAGACACAATGAAGATTAACCAGCTGGACCAAGACCGCACAGGGAGTGGATCCTAGAGCTGGGATTTGAACCTAGGTGGGCTGGTCACAGAGCAGGCATGCTTAGCTCTTGTGCAAAACTGTCTTTTCAAAGAAATGAAAGCCTTGAGACCAACTTATTGTATCGGTCTGCTGTGCGCTTGGCTCAGGGACACATGTGTGTAGTTGGCTGTGATTCTGGTCCAGAAATAATGTGACTCAAAGCAGAGGAAGACTGGCTTTGGGCCGTCCCTTTCAAGGACACCTGCTGACTCCAGGCCTCCTCTAGGTCGACCTCAGCACACTCTAGAGCCATCGCTCATTCTTCCAAAAGTCTGTTCACTGACCCTGTCTTCCTTACCACACTCCAAGTTCCCTGAAGTTAGAGCTGGGCACCCACGAGGCACTGAGTCATGTTTGCAGAAAGAGTGGTGGGCAGGAAGAGGAAGGGGGATAAAGGATGCTGGGCCCCGAGGAGAGATCCAAGTGGTTGCTGGGGGACTGGCACCACGCTGACCCTCCTCACTCCTCCAGTAGCCGCTCAGCGATCCCATAAACATCCTTTGAGCCACAATCAAACAGGACACTGACATCACAGAGGCTTCCATCAGGTAGAGAACAGGGGTCTAAACAAATACAGGACAGGACAGGACAGAGTGATGTTGAGGACCAGTTTACAGAATTCGGGATCTTGGTGGCCAGTGCATCATGAGGGAGATCAGTGGGGGGTGGGGTATTGAAGGGAAGGGGGTCTCAAAAGCAATAATAGGGGAATGGAGACATGATCTAGCAAGGAAGCCTTCCTGAAAGAAGGGGTATTTAGACAGAGGCCAGAACATGGGGTGGGGGGAGAGTGGGGGACTAGCCAGGTGAAAGGGCAGGTGGGGAGGGTGGAGAGAGTGACAGGTCGCAGGAATAGCATGTATGAGGCTCCGTGTTGAGAAGGAACTTAGGAGGTTTGTTAAAAGCCTAAAAGATAGTGTATGGGCTTCTTACTGCTGCTGTAACAAATACCACAAACTTAGTAGCTGAAAGGAACACAAGCTTATTCTCCTACAGTTCCGGGGGTGCAAAGTCCACAGTGGGTTCTTCTGGAGGCTCTAGGGGTGAAGGGGTTCCTTGCCTTTTCCTGCTTCGAGGGGACACCTACACTCCTTGACTCATGGCCCCCTCGCTCTTTGCAGACCAGCAAGCAGTGTAGCATTTTCTCTTTCTCTCCCCCTCCTGGGAGGACCCTTGTCATTACATGGGATGCCGGATTCATCCAGGATAATCCCCCCATCTCATATCCTCAGTCACATCTGCAAAGTTCTTTCAGAATATAGTCTAACATATTCAGAGTTTTGGGGGATGAGGTTGCGGACACTGGCTTGAGGAGAGGGAGTGTGTGATTCATCTGGAGCCTGGATGCAAGGCAGGAGTCAGTGCACTGAGAGGGTGTGTTCCATCGTGTAACCCCTGAGATGTATCTAGTCCTTTCCAGGCGACTGGGAAGGTGGAGGGGCCGTGGGGTGGGGCAATGAGCCCCAGGACTGTGGCTGTGTACACGGGTCAGCACTCCTTGGCCTTCCACACACACAGATTAAAAAGTAGCTCTAGGGGCACCTGGGTGGTTCAGTTCGTTAAGCATCTGACTCTTGATTTTGGCTTTGGTCATGATCTCAGAGTTGTGGGATCGAACCCCATGTCCGGCTCTGTGCTCAGCATGGAGTCTGCTTGAGATTCTCTCTTTTCCCAAGCCCTCCCCCCAAATAGATAGATAGATAGATAGATAGATAGATAGATAGATTGTATAAACACTACTGTGGCCTGAAGTACTGGAATCAGATTATTAAAAAACTGAAAATCAGATTGAAACACTGTAACCAAATTAACGAATCAAACTGCACAACCCACAGCAGTGGCCCCAGTGAAACCAGGCAGGGGAGGAGCGCCCTGTCTTTTTCGAAGGAGTGAAAAGGAGAGTGAGGGTCTTTTCTCCACACCCTTGCTTTAACTCGCTTCTCAAGCCTGAGCAGCATCAGCATGGCTGGGCAGGGGTGGGGTTCTTGCCCTCTGAGTTTGTGGATCAAGTGGGGTGTGGGGTGGGGCCGAGAAGTCACATTTCTGGCAAGTTCTCAGGTGATGCTGTTGCTGCTGGTCTGGGGAACGTACCTTGGGAACCGCTCCAGGAGGCTGCCCTCTTATTTTATTTGTGCGATCTCTTTGGAATAACAGATTCTGCCGTGAAAACAGTATTGCAAACACCGGGAACGGACTTTCTCTAAGGCTTCCCAGCAACAGTGGGAGCCTATGTCTCTGGGATGTATTACAAAGTATAAAGTGAGTAATGCATTGCCAGATGCTGGGACAACACAGTGAAAGTTTCCAGAGCACTGACTGCTGTGCCTTAGAATTCCAGTTTCACTGCGGACAGGCTGTGTGACCTTGAAGAAGTTACTGCTCCTCTCTGAATCCCTCTTCCTCTAGCAATGGGTACCATAACTATCTCTAATGCAGAGAGAAATACTGAGCCCAGAGCTTGGTACCTAATAAATCCTCCCTAAATGGTGGCAACTATTGCTCAACAAAAACAATGGACAAATTTTCCCAGCACCATTTATTGAAGAGACTGTCTTTTTTCCACTGTATATTTTGTCCTGCTTTGTCGAAGATTAGTTGACCATAGCGTTGAGGATCCATATCTGGCTTTTCTACTCTGTTCCACTGGTCTATGTGTCTGTTTTTGTGCCAGTACCGTGCTGTCTTGGTGATCACAGCTTTGTAGTAAAGCTTGAAATCAGGCAACGTGATGCCCCCAGTTTTGTTTTTCTTTTTCAACATTTTCTTAGCAATTCGGGGTCTCTTCTGATTCCATACAAATTTTAGGATTGTTTGTTCCAGCTCTTTGAAAAATGCCGGTGAAATTTTGATTGGGATGGCATTGAAAGTATAGATTGCTCTAGGCAGTATAGACATTTTAACAATGTTTATTCTTCCGATCCATGAGCATGGAATGGTCTTCCATCTTTTTGTGCCTTCTTCAGTTTCTTTCATGAGTGTTCCGTATTTCCTCAAGTACAGATCCTTTACCTCTTTGGTTAGGTTTATTCCCAGGTATCTTATGGTTCTTGGTGCTATAGTAAATGGAATCGATTCTCTAATTTCCCTTTCTATATTTTCACTGTGAGTGTATAAGAAAGCAACTGATTTCTGTGCATTGATTTTGTATCCTGCCATGTTACTGAATTGTTGTATGAGTTCTAGTAGTTTTGGGGATGGAGTGTTTTGGGTTTTCCATATAAAATATCATGTTGTCTGAGAAGAGAGAGAGTTGACTTCTTCCTTGCCAGTCTGAATACATTTTATTTCTTTTTGTTGTCTGATTGCTGTTGCTAGGATTTCTAGTTCTATGTCGAACAACAGTGGTGGGAGTGGGCATCCTTGTCGTGTTCCTGATCTCAAAGGGAAGGCTGTCAGTTTTTCCCCTTTGAGAATGATATTCGCTGTGGGTTTTTCATAGATAGATCTTATGAAGTTGAGGAATGCTCTCTTTATCCCTAGCACTACTGGGTATTTACCCCAAAGATACAGATACAGTGAAAAGAAGGGCCATCTGTACCCCAATGTTCATAACAGCAATGACCAGTCACCATACTGTGGAAAGAGCTGACATGCCCTTCAACAGATGAATGGATAAGGAAAATATGGTCCA